ATGTGTACAATTGTCATACCGTGACTATTGTGATTATTGACCCAGAATTTCTGCTACCAAATTGACATATGCGTTTGTTCTTTGTCACTGACTGTAATAACCGTTTCGGGAAGGTATTTGGACATCCGTTGTGACAGGGGCTGATTCGTCCTGTCCACATAAGTATTACTGCGACTGCAGGTGAACTGACAGACGACATTTGAAGCAAAATTGGGCAGCTGGTTCTGCTTTCGGCTGAGTGTATGTTGTCAGTTGAGGCTGTGCAGTATGAGACATCCGACACAATGCCGCTTCGAGCTTCTCAAACAAGTCGTTAATCAGATGAGTGTCCTTGAAGGACTGTGTAAGACGTATTTCTCTAGTGTTTCCGCAGACCGGTAGCTGTTGGAACCTTCTGCAGTTCGCCACGGTAGGCCCAAGGGCGTAGGATGCCGGCAACATAAGTGAGCAATATGAATTCCTTACTAGGTGATTCACTCCCCCAGCTACTATTTATCTGTCACTCTTCGCTTTTTTACTTCAAGTGGAATCGAACAACTGACTGCGGTCTTAAGTTAACAATGAAGTCAGCGATGCCAACCTACGCACAACAGTTAGGGTGTCGCTGTCTACGCAGCATTACACGAACCTGATGGGCGAACCGGACAAGCAATGCTGAGGTTAGACGCAAAGTTTTAGGTAGTCTTCATAGGTTACGTTGATTGAGGCATGTGTTATGCATGTCACCAAGTCGATTGCAACGACGCCCTATGTATTCCGAGCCAGTAGTAGTAGGTGGAAAAATGCCAGCGGTGGTCAAACTAATACATGTTATGAGGACAAGACACCCTGATTAGGAGACTCGGTCATTTCGGTCGTGATAGGTTCTCTGGATGGGGTCCTCGGGATTATTGCAATCACTGATTAGAGACACTGAATGAGTAAAAGTGATGCCCATGCATCGTTCTAATATTTTGCAACCTTAATCCACTGAAAATCTCCGTTTTTCTCTTCGACTCCACTTTCAACTTTCCAATCCACCCTTCATTACTGTTCATCCAAACGGGTAGCCAGAAGACAACAACCAAGGCCGGTGTACGAAAATGCACATGGTTGTACAAACTGAACTGAACCATAATAGATATGCAAGTAAAGGGTAGCGTGCTTCTGAACATGCGGCTAACATAATTCCTAGCATTTTTATCATTTCATGATGTGTTAAAGACTTCAGAAACTCAGAAAACGTGATTGAACAAGTAGCTCAGCTGGTAGAGCGTGTGCGTACAAAGTGTAGGCGGCGTCCATGCGTGGGTTCGAATCCCAACGAGGCTACTGAACTTTTCGCAATCGCCATACAAACTTCAAATCTGTCAAACAACAATTTGAACAATTGAATAAGTGTCTTACTGTAATCTTATTCACTTCCAGTTCTGTGGTACTCAGAGTGTACAATCATCCTGTGCGATGGGACCCGCAGACAATGGATGGTTGCCAATCAATAGGGACAGGGAACCCGAGAGAGTAGCAGCTTGGTGTAATAATGCACCGGATAGAACGTAACAGAATAATGGTTCACAGTGATCAAACATAGCCTGCGGAACGCCATAAGTTTCACAATCGCAAACTAGACAAATCTAGCAAATTAGCTACAGCATTATGCACCCTAAAAAACAGGTACGTTAATTCTGTGGTGTACGGCTATCAGTAGTATTTAATTCCGCAGAATCATTCGCCAAAAGCCAGATAACTGCCAATGGCAAGCCAGATCGACATCGAATTATCTGGCGTTTAAATTTTAAAAAAAACAAAGCAGTTTGTCAATTGGTCAGCTCGCTTCCTTTGATTGATCGATCTTACATCCACGGTCACAAACGATGGGCACGTGATCGCCTTCCGGCGGGAGGGTCTGTTCGTTCCCACTGGGTGCATTTGTAGCATCATGTCCACGGGTGTTTTGGGCGCAATTCATTTGGGACAATTCACTCGCTGGAGCGAGTGACTGAAGCACCGCACTACCATTTGATTTGGTAGCCCGATTATATCCTGAGCTGAGAACACGCAGATGTGTAATGCTTTATTCCGTTCTTTTTTCAACAAACGTGTGATTGAATCATCCCAAAGGAGGACGAAGAGGAGGAGGCTATGGTAAAGATGTAACCGACTGCACGCTCGTCTTTGATCCGAGGACGACGGAAACGGAGATCAATTCAGGCCGTTTTGCACAATAGTTCATCCTTTGAATATGCCAGATTAGTGAGTAGATCGCGGTGAATCCTGACCGATTTGTTTTCTGCCAATATGCGAGCATCAGATCCTCGCACCAGGGACAGTGACAATTTAGACAATGTCTAATGCCTTATTTTTCCCGTAAGACACGCTTAAAACTAGGAGTGTATTTGAAAGCATGAAGCCTAAATGAATAATGAAATATTCATGGCACAGTACTTTTTCGGTTCTAACTACAGATTTGGTCGAAACTTGAGAGGCCAACGCTAACGTACTCGGAATTACGGTTGTTGTATGTCTCGTTCCGAAATGTCCTTAAATGAGAAGAGATGAGCAAGCTGTACTATCTCCGGGCCAGCTCAGTTTGATCGATTGGTTCGGCTTTGTCACTGCATATCTTACCTTATTGCGTTTTCAGTTTTGGTACTACAGGTACATGCTATGTGTTAACGATTAAACACGATTGATTACCCAGCGGGTGATGTTGACTGGTTTGTAATCGGTCAATGTGTGGACGCCCTCCCCCCCACCCCGGGACGGAGGTTTAGAGACGCGGATGTTTATCTGTATGGTGTGGTGCACGTGGATCAACCGGAATCGGTCAGGTATCCAAGGCCGTGTCGGGGGGGGGGCGAAGGGCAATCGGTTATCGCACTGAATTCGGACACATATTACGCATGACATCTGCCGTATTGCGTTTTACTTGCATCCTAGATAGTCGACTGAGAGGATCGGTACCGTAGAACTCCAGACCAGTCAATCCAAGTTCGGAATTGGAAACAAATGCGAATCGGTCGCCCTTTTCCCCCGGCAAAAGATTATTGTATCATGTTTGATTCGTATCCGCTAGTTGACAGCTGAAACCTTATATTACACTGCACTCCCCGTCAGGAACACGACGAATAAAAATCGGAAGAAACAGTTATTGTTGGACTTTAAAGTGGACCACTTTAGTGGGTCTAAAATGACTATCGTCAGTCCTGGATTCGGATTAAAAACCTGTTGAAAAACTGCTATGGTTTCGGTGCTGACGTTCTTCCGTGCATTCGTGCGAGCTCGGTTAAATAGGTCGTGCCTGTGTGTCTAATGCGTTTTGACAATAAAAAAGGAACTCGCTTGGGTTAGAAACAGTTCACTAATAGGCGATCTTTTACGCGGATTCATTCTTTCACTCACAGAATGGTTGGTTGCATCTGGGCTTGTGCAACTCCAATCCTAATCACAAGATGAATCAGATTCAACCGAACGACTGCCGTCGTTAGTCGGTTTAGAAAGTTCGATTCGATCCCTTCTGACCCCATCGCGATCACGTGGAACTATTACACTCTGCATCCGTGGCAGATTGATTGATGTGTTCGTTTGCGCGAACGTAGCCCCGTACCAATCAGATTGTTTAAACATCGTCACTCCACACAATCCCCTGTTACTGTAGTCATGTGAGGCATTTATCTGCGATGTTCGTTTGATAGATCCATTCTGTTATCGTCTAGGTAAAGACCCACCGGTCTCCCGCATTTCGGGTTCACAATGATCCACTATAACTTGCAGCAAAGCTAAGCTTTACTTGTGATCTTTACGTCCCAACAACTGTTTTTGGTGCCCCCTGGTTTAATCAGAATGATTTGCCATTATTTTGACACCCATGGGATTAGATTTTAATTATCTGTGCCTTGTTTGTTTCAGTTTCACTTGGTCGATAGCTGCCCGTCAGAGATGTGAGCCACATATCTTGTGCTGGCACCCAACGGAACAGGTGCTGGTTACTGATCCCATTGAAACCACCAGAGTCAACTTATAGACTTGGAAGACCCGAATTGGTGGGAGGCTTTCGACTGGAGTTCACAGATAGTCAACTGTGTCTGCATTCGTCGATATCAGGCCCTAAATGGAATGACTAACTATCTCTGAAAATGACACCTGGGACAAATATAACGTGGCAATTCGGTTTAGCCCCGGGTATGAGCTGGTTGGCACAGTGGTAACACACACGCCTTCTGTGCGATGGGTCCGGAGATCAAATCCTAGATTTGGACGGTGGATATACACTGCTGATGAGCTCTAATAAGAGCGCAACTCGAGCCTATTGCTTCCGAGTGTACGGTTGACTGGAAGTGCTGAGGAATGGGTGTGAAGGTGAAGTCTGAAGGATGGTCAGTCCTAATCAATTAATTAATAGACTTGTCTCCGTTGTCTGACCGATATACCGATCGCCGCACATTCACCTAGTTGTAACACAGACATCTGTGGAGGCTCTCTCGTCTGGTCATATAATCAAATTGGGTCCACCTTCTTTCCTGTAAGTTCACGGATGCATATAATCAAGAAAATTAGCCAATCAGATTGCATAGTAAAGCGGTTGGTATAAGTGGGAAGGGGGAAATTGTGGGCGGTACGTGGATCTAAAGATACATTAAGCGCATTTCCCAAGTGAACACTAACTGCTGCACAATTGGCAGTAGGCAATTTTGTCATGGAAAGTTGATGAACGAGCGCTTTAACATTTTTGACAGACCCCGTTGGAACGAAACGAAGACCTGGGCATGTATAGAGTGAATTCGATTTTTAAAACATCACCTTTGCCAAACACTGACGGATCGGCGAATGCAAAGAGAGAAACGTTTGGTCGAAAATAGATATATAGAAATAAATCGTGTAGAAAAGTACAGAGTCCGTTATCGAAAAAGAAAATAGAACAAATCAGTGAATAATGGCTTTACACAGCAGCAGTACTAGGAACGAGAGACAGGGAGACAGGTGACTGGCGTCTCTTTTATAGCCGAGATGATACGAGCAACTTAGTCGGGTGAGGGCATTGTTCTGAGGTTCTCATAAGCTGCTCTTTCCAATGCTTCACTGGAAATAAATGGGGAGAAAAGAGGACAATTAGGAATAGGTGAACTAGAAGAGCAATGATTTCGGACGAGAATTTTATGCGACTGTTGAACCCAAGGACGAGTCAACGATGGTAATCGGAATGATGATTTGGATATTTCAGGCGCATAATGATACAGGGTAACTCTGGAAAAAGTGTGCCCGATCAAGATACCTTTGGAGTAGACTGAAAAACAGTTCGCTCGCTAAACGAACAGAAATGTGCAAACAATAAAGGTTTCCATTTATCTTCTTTTTCTATTTATTGAATATATACACAAATGTACAATCAACTTTCAGGAAGGGAGCTGCGGCCATGCAAAGGCTGCCCGGGGGAAATACAGATATAGGAAAGACGGGCGGCGGTGGAGCGGTTTGAACCCGGGACACCCAGGTCACTAGTTGGTGACCTAACTACTTGGACATCACCGCAGCCGGAAAAGTACCACACCCTATTTCCTGTCACCAGTGGGCTGTGACAGGGTTGCTCTATCTCTCCGTTTCTCTTCAACTTTGCCATAGATGATGTTCTACAAAACGCGTTACATAACGTAATGAAAGTCGGCGTTGAGCTTCCACCTGGAGACAGGGTCGCAGACTTAGAGTATGCCAGTGATATTGCCTCACTGGGTGACAACGCACTAACGATTCTAGAGTCGTTGAACCCTTTGGCAATTGAGATTGCTCTCTTTGGTCTGTCCTTTGTACTTTCAAAGTGAAAAGCGTTGTTGCAAGATTGGTAATGACACCCTGGAAGTAGTCGAAAGTTTTGTCTACCTCAGGAGGTGCATAGCGGCTGGCAGTGTATACGAGGAGATCTCTCAACGCGTGATCAGAGCGTTTGCTAATCTGCGGCATCCCTGGCACCGGTGCGACATATCCCTTTCACTGAAGGGGCATGTGTATTGCGCAACGGTGAGCATTATGCCTGCGAAACCTGGCCTCTCCGAGCAGATTACGTCCAACTACCATCCGTTGTCTGCACAACATCGCCCGTGTATGGTGGGAGCATCGCATGAATAGCGATGAGGTCAGAATACGGGTGCCGGGGTCAGATAGTCTTCCGTTGAGCAAAATAAATTCACTGCATCGTCTTAGGTGGCTAGGGCCTGAGCAACGTCTGCCACACCGTGCACTATTCGAAGACATCGATCCAGGCTGGAAGAGTCAGCGAGGTAAGCAGGCTATGACGTGGTGCACAGGGTTAAAGAAACTGCTCGGATCTGGCTCCCGTTGGGGCTTCCAGATTGAGGCCCCAAGGATTCCCAAAATAAACAACAATGCAAAAACTCAAAATGGTGTGCAGTAAACAAACAAAAAATTTATTATTCCCCCAAGTTGACAGTTTTGCTTTCCTCGCTTCTGTACCTATATTTTTCGTCAACCCATAGTTATTTTGGCATTAATGTTTTAGGCTCGTTTCAGCGCCGAATATCTGTGACCAATCTGATCGTTCACGTTTGTGCACGTCAAACGGTGTTTTTGTTGCGATGGAGATGATCGTCTGCAGTTTGGTGAACTATTCTGCAATGGGAATAAACGAAACTACCCCGAAAACAAAGGTGTGACTCGTCAATTAGACGAACTGCTCAAGCCCCCACAAGTTTGTCCTCAGTCTGGACGGGTAATATCAATAATGAAAATTTTCATCTACCAATCTATCGTGCATAAAATCAGTTTTTTGGAAGTTTACAGGGTTTATATATAGATATATATACGTCTGATGCCAGACTGTGTGCCAAACAAATCGTGGTACAACAATCTTTATAAAAAGAAAAACGCTCCACAATTTGCAAATGGGCGGAATGCTGCCGGGTTACCCAGGCCAAGACAAGTGAATTTTCTTAGGGAATCCACAACCGGAGCCTTCGGCTAACCAAAGCCTGACCCGCAAGGTAGCGGAGCGGTGTCCAGTTCATCGGATCATATGCCTTTTGGACGGGGTCATACGTCCAAGGTGTTGTTAGGTAAAAAGATTATTTTTACCTAAAACTGACTATTTTTCGAGTATCTGCAATTCGGAGCATCTCTAATCAATACCAATCTCGCGGAGAATAATCAATCATATTGCGTCATACGGAGACATTCACTCCGTCCGTCCGATCCGTGACTTATGATCGATTGAACTTTGCTAACTCCGTGACTTATAATCGATTGAACTTTGCTAACTGTGTACTTGATTGGCATAATCTTTTTCTTGCATTATTCGATGCTATTTTGGGTCACATATAAGCATCAGAGTAAAATTTGTAAATTGACTTGCTTTTCCTGTTTGTCAAGTACACGTTCGCTGTGCACTAACTGTGTTCTTGTTTACGTAGCTGCTCGTGGCGTCCAACCTGTGCTGTGATCGTACTCGTGAGGTTAGACGAATAGTGTGGCCGTTGAGGTAAGTGTGTTCCTCGTGCGTCATCGTGTGATATCTTGTTGTGTGTACATTGTGATCAAACGAGATCCGGACACAACAGGNCTAGGTGAACTGCCAGTGGTTCACCAACCCGGTTATAGCCCTGGATATCGGCTTTTCGTCCTCTCGCTTTGGTCGGAAAACACCTCTACCACGAGAACGCAGTGAGTAGGACTTCCTCAACAGAGGCTGTTTGAGACGATTGGTCGTATGGGAGCATTTCGCCAGGTGCAAGGGAAGGGTGACCAGCCGCAACCTTAGACACCCGCCCTCGACTATACTGAGGATTTTGGAGGCTCACTCGGATGAACAGTAGGAAAAGACAGGAAAGTTGAAAGTAAAGTTGAATATAAAAGAAGTTTCAGTGGACTGAGGTTGCAAAGAAATTGAGAAGATGCACGAACGCCACTGTTTACGAAACTCATTCGGTGTCTCTCACCCCCGGTTACGATCACCTCGAGGTCCCCAGTCAGGGAACCTATGTGATGACCCAGTCCGCTGGCCAGGGTTTTGATGCACTTGCGCCAGGTCACTGTTGAACATAATCCAGAGTGAGGGTACTCACCGGAAAAGGGTTTTGACACGAAAAAACACTAACCTCATTTCACTTGGCAATCCTACATCAAGACAGAGAATATTTGGGTTTGATAGGCAACTTGACTGATTTTATTCTGACAGAAAAACGTAATAACTGGGTAGTACGTAAAACAAAAATAAACGGAATCTGAGAGTGCTGTATATCTATCTGTTCGGATAAAGTTTCACACAGCGGTATCGAACCGCGGAACCCTGGCAGTTTTGGGATTTTAATTCTCGCCCCGAATAATCAACCTGTGATGTTTCACCCCCACCTAGTCATCTCGTTACGCATGTGTTGGACAGTTGAGGTGGGCAAACTTACCGGTCATCTGGATGTGCAATTTGAATCAGGGAATAGGCTCTTTGACGCAGATTTCGGCCAAATAAATAAGCGACTCCGTACTCGGTGACCACATAATGCACATGGGCCCGAGTAAGTATCACTCCCGTGCCGGGCTTCAGTACGGGTACAATTTTCGGTTCACCCGCTGAAGTTCTTGAGGTCATACCAATGATGGGTTTCCCTTTGCCATCCGGACTGATTGCTGCACCTCGCATGAAGTCTACAACGCCACCGACACCTATCAGTAAGGTCGGAGGGAAAGAGAGAGAGAGCGCGAAATTTACTGCCCTGTAGCTTCTTCGTTGCCCGAAACTCCAAACAAAAACAGATGCTAACTCGGCGGTGAAAATACAGCACTAAATAACCATTAGTTTATTGCAAAAATAGCGAGTTGCTTCATTTCTAAGTAAACAAAGCAAGACTGCATATATGTATTATCCCGGGTTTCTACCTGAACAAATTAACTTCTTATTTTATGATACATCTTTGCGTTGTGATCCACATCAGAAGGGATAAATCACACAGTTAGAATGTTCTACTGTTCACTCATGATAAGCAGCATACTAATCCCCTAAGACTTGGTGTTCCAAACAATATGAGAGCACAACGAGCTAGGTACCATACTGGGCAGGACGATAGCCAGGCTTCCTACCACAGGCAACTTTGCTGTCGTCCAGTTCAATACCACGCCTACCCTATCGGGGCCTTATGTGGGTCTCCATTCAAAGTCTCGGGATTTAGGTTGCCCGTTTCCACCACAGAACAGCAGGTCCTCCTGACTTTGGGGTTTACCCCGTCTGCTGTTCATCACATGTAGGTGTGTAATAAAAAAATTCTGGTCATCGTGGTGGTGATAAAGTTCGAACCTCAGACCTTAGAGCCCAAATCACGCTAGTGATAGCGAATCCAATCGCTTTACCATCACTGTCATCCAGACAGTGGGTGAAATGGCGGCTGGAGTGCTCATCCTTTCGTCAACGACGGGGAGGGGCTGCAATCTTCCGTTTCAGTTTTGACAACTATTATTCATGTGAACCTTCGTACGCCGGTTGTGGTTGCTGTCTTTTGGCTGCTCAATTAGATAAAAGAGCAAGATGAAAATTGGAATATTGAAAGCAAATCCAAGTGGGAGATGGAAAATTCATTTAGAGTGATGTTAGAAGAATAATGAGTGGATGCACGAGCGCCACTGTTTGCGATACCCAGCCATATCATTCAGTGTTTGTAACCATCGGTGACCTTCATCTCGGGGTCTCCAGCCAGGGAATCTAACGGGGCCTATGTAACCTAGTCTCCTGGTTAGAGTTTTCATACTTCCATCTCAGGTCTTCGTTTGACTGCCCTTGACCTTTTTCCAACCTTTACCTACCTCGGCAAACATCGGTCGCCGTGCAACCTATCTGGTGACATGTGTAGCACATGTACCAACCAACGTAATCTATGAAGGTTGATCACATGCTCCAGTGGCCTACCGCGACTGCCCAAAAATCTATGCCCAACCTCAGCATTGCTCGTCCGGTTAGCCCACCAGACTCGCACATTGCAACGTAAACAGAAGTGTTCGAACACCGACAATCTGCGATGAATCAAATTACGCTTCCTTCTTACGGGATTCCCGTGTCCGAAGTGCTCAGTTTAACGATGTTGTCCCCAGTTAAACTGATTGCTATATGATTAATTCGCCGTATAAATGAGATGTGAACTGAAAAGCTGGGAAGCACAACAGAATAGCGATTTCATCGACCCAACTGAAGATTGTGAACCCCGGATCTCACAGGTAGAACGCAAGCATGCTGCCCACACACACGCGGCCACCGTGTAGCAGATCAGAATGATCATTTTTGAGTCTTGGATAAGTGACACATCTCTACTCCTAAATTGTTTCGAGCTGATGCTCTCCAGGTTTCATGGGTAAGTTATCTGCTGACGAAATATTTGTACATGGGTTTCTCACTGTATCGCGTCAATGAAAGTATTCAAGAGTGTACTGCACGCTGAAGATACAATACAATACTTATCCTAGCACAAAGATGTAGTCGATGGATTTACTAACGTTGACAGTTTGAAATGCGAAAACATCGATCGAGTTACTAGCAGCATAAAGACAAATAAATCAAATAAACTTTTCCGTTTCATAACAACGGGGTTTCGTTTCCCCTGGCCATTGTTGTGCCCTTCGTTTAATTGCTCTCTCCCTCTCCCATCGGCATCAAATTCGTAATATTGAAAGGCTCATCATACTGAGACAGAATGCGGTTAACAGTCTTACAGAACTCGCGTTGCGTTTAGAAAGTCAAATACAAAACTTTATTGAAAATCGGTTTTAGTAGCTCGAGTGAACTGAATTCCATCTCACCAGCTCACCGAGCAATTGGCAATTTGTTTGCAAACATTTCATCAGCATCAGCCTAGGTGACATCATCAAGGCTTGCTAAGTAGCAGTGTTGTGCTTGACCCGTTCGTTTATAACTATGTTCTTCTCCACCGACTATTATTGCCTCTTGTTGTCACTCTGTTCGACTCGGTTCGCCGTTAAACTAGCGTGAGGGTAGGAGGGGAGGGGGTTATCCTTTCACGCTGATTGCGGTTTCGGTCCGTTCTCAGGTCACGATAATTTTCACTGATTCGAAGTCAAATTGATATTCTTCTTGATCTTCTTGGAGGGAAATCAACGAAAGTGGGTCATGTCACCTGATTGCCGCTTGGTGTTCACGGATCCTTGTTGACACTTTTTCCCAGTTTTTCTGATATAGTGTTTTCGGCAGTTATTGCAGTTTATTTTGTGGATATCACTGCTCTTGTCCTTCTCCATTGTTCTCTCCTTTGGTTTTGACAGAAGTCTCCCTAGACAGGCGGTCGGTTTGTGGGCGACTTGGATTCCATATTATCTGAGCAGTCTTGCTGTCATTACCGAAACGTTCTTGATGTACGGTAGGGTCGTTTTTGTTCCCGATTCTCCGTCTGTTGTTACTTTCTTTCTTTGAGTCAGAGTTGTTTTGATGAAGTTGCGGGTGTAGCCATTACGAGCAAATACTCTGAGTAGGTATCTCTCTTCTTTCTCCTTGAATGTATCGGTGTTGGATTGGATTCTTCCGAACAGGGTTCTAACACAGCATATTTTGTGACTGTGTGGATGATTACTTTTGAAGTTTAGAATTTGATCCGTATGCGTTGCTTTGCGGTGCTGGTAATGTCAACTCGGTTGGCGAAGAGACGTTTGCAAACAAATTGCCAAGCTCAGGGAACCAGCAAAATGGAACAAAACATTTTACAAAAGACGCAAAGTAACAAACAGTTCACGCACGTTTGTCTCTCGGAGATGTCAGTTTGGTAAATCACTGTGGAATCCGTTTATCAGTCAAATATGCTAGATACACTAATGAAGTACCTGGGGATTTTTATCAGGTCAGTGGCAAAAGTCTTCATGCATTGCTCCGCCACATTTTCTAGCCACATGGAATTACCTAAATGGATGCATATAACTAAGGACTGATCTCAAACAGGATCAAACAAAACTTAGATGCTCTCCAGTGGCCCCACGTGATGAGCCACAATATACTCCTGTAAGGATAATTATATCACGTTCCTTCGCCTTGTCGGACAGTTTTCAAATAGAGCATCTCAAGAGTGGTTAGTTCGTGGTAGTAGTAGTAGTATGTGTAGCAGACATATGCATTAAACAAGTATTCATTTGGGTGACTTGCCAGAGTAAATGTAATCCCCGATGGAATCGCATGCGACTTGTCCGGTCAAATCGATTGCCAAACATGTGTTGATACACGTGGGTTTCGGATTCTGTGCAATCCGCTCCGGTGACGCAACCCATTCAATGTCACATATGTCTGTTCCGGTGGAAAGAAAGAAACAAGAAAAGAATAAAAAGAGGACCAAACACCACATGGTACTAATCAGGGCAGAAATTACGGTAAACTATTGTACAGTACTGTTATTTAAAAAAAAAATTTGTACCGCAGTATTCAATTGGTAGTCATGATCATCACATTCAAATCTATTGGATAGGTTAGCTTAGATTCTCATCTAGAACGGCATATATTTCTTTTGCCTACAGCTTTGATAATCTGGTAAGGTTGAATCACAATACAGTATAATAAGTATGAGTATATGACCTTTTGGACAGAAAGAAGACCAGCTAATTGAAACACTATCACATGTTCTTCTAGCAAACTAATCTTACGCAGTTTCCTTAACGGTTCAGCAAATCTTCCGTGGTGACTTATGATGGTATCAGGAGGGCTAGTGAACTCTTTCATTGGTGGTCGGTTAGGATTTTGTTTTTAACAAAACAGAAGGTTGGTTAATGGAAACACTTTTCTGCATGGACTGCGGACAATTTTGGGCTTTATTCCAACTTGGCTGTAATTCATATAGGGAACTTCTTTGAACCTATTGCCTCGATTTGAAAACTGAAAGTAGCAAACGCCAAGACCGGTAACTTACTCCTGCACGTGATATTTCCTATGTAAAGCAGTGGACTACATCTTTTCTATCTTCAGTGCAACAAGAACGCTGTCCGTTAGTCTTTCAGATTATCTAGCGTCTATGAGTAAAGCGCTCGATAACCTGGCGACCATAAACGGTTTAGTTTCAGTTTGTACAACGATGAGCCATGCACTTCCGCGCGCTTGTCCTGGTTTCTGTGCTTTTGCTGCCCATTTGGATGAAGCAGTAGGAGAAAGACAGGAAAGTTGGAAGTTGAGTTGAACGGAAAAATGAAGCATTTCGATAGACTAAGTTTGTAAAGCAATTGAGAAGATGCACGAACGCCATTATGTGCGACACGCAACTATGTCACTCAGTATCTCATAACATTGATCACAATGATCCTGAGGTCTGATCTAACGGGACCTAAATAACCAAGTCTCCTGGTTTGGGTTTCATACCCTCATGCTCAGTCTTATTTTGACCACCATTGGCTTTATTCCACCCACTACCTGCCTCGGTAAACATCGCTCACCGTGGCCACCTATCTGGTGACATGTGTAACACATGCCCCAATCAACGTAATCTATGGAGGTCAATCACTTACTCCAGTGAGCGATCGCGGTTGCCTAAAACTTTGCGCCTAACCTCAGCATTGTTCGTCTGGCTGTCCCACCAGATTCGTGCAATGCTGCGTAGGCAGCGATGTTCAAACACCGACAGTCTATATTTATCCTGTTTTCTCAACGGCCAAGTTTATGCGCCGTATAGCAGAACTACTGCAGCATAAACTCGATCCTTCACAGACAACCGGATGTCGCGACGGCGCGACAGATGTCTCAAGTTGGCAAATGTCAATCAAGCCTTCTGTATGCGAGCTAACACTTCATCCATGATGCGTTCACCGGATGAGATGTAGCTGCCTAAATAACAAAACTTATCCACTTGCTCTATTACTACCCCAGTTAATGAGGCTGGATGCTGGACCAACCCAGTCTTGAAGTAAAATTTTACACTTTACAGGTGCAAAACGCATACCGAAAACGGCTACACTTGCACTCAAACTATCCAGAAAAGCTTGTAACTTATCTGGATCTTCACTTGGTAGCACAATGTCGTCTGCATACTCTAGATAAAATAGCCTTACTCCGGGTAGTAAATCGATGCCACTATTCTCGCGTGAGGATAGGGTTGTTCCCATTATTAGATCTATAACAAAGTTAAATAGAAACGAGGAGAGAGGGCAACCCTGTCGAACACCACTTTTTGTGGTGAACTCAGGCGAAAAAGTGCCGTAAGCTCGGACTGGGTTTGGGCTATGAGTAAAGAGGGATGGTAATATTGAAATTAACTTCTCGAGCACTCCCTTCAGGGAAAGTCAGTGGCAAAGTTTAGAGCGGTCGGCTGAGTCGAAAGCCGTTTTCCGATCGAGGAAGACAGAGATGGTGAGTCTATGAAAAGAATTTCGGTGCTCCAGAGTTTGGCGAAGAGTGAAGATGTGGTCGACACAACCTCAACCAGGTCTAAAGCCAGCCTGGTTCTCACGTGTGCACTCTTCAAGTGCGACAGACAATCGACGGATGCCAGCGAGAAGTCTGTCTAAACAGCACCGTATGCATCGAGCAGAACACACGGATTGGGTATACTAAAGTCAATCGTGCCGATTGTGCAGTCAATGATGTGCACTACCTCCATCGGCTTTGCTATCCGGGGCATTTTAGGTATTCTATGTGGGAGATTCCCTGTTTGCCAACGAACAGAAATGTGAAGAAAAGGTTAAGGGTGGCCAGATATTGCTTTGGAGCCAAGCAATGAAAAAAATGACCAGAAGGTCCAACCGCGTGTGACGTTCGATACATTTTCTTGGGGTGGGAGGTGTACTGGAATCGTAGTAATCAATGATCAGATATAATGAACTTTATCACTATATGTCATCAAGAATGTCGATTGTATACCAATTCATTTTCTACTCGCACATCGTTAACTGTCGTGTTATAAATTTACCTTGGTGGCAAATGTTGCTAAGGGTTTCAGTTTACCTCGATCCTTCATTGGCCAATCAGAAAGCAGCAAACCAAGCGGGAGTGCAGAGCTAATGTTTTCATAAACGGAAACTACGGCTGATGTGAATAAAAAACTGATTAAGGTACATGCTGTATCAAACTGGTCGCCGATCTGTATGCATGGACAAGCGGTATCAGAAATTTGAATGAAGCAAATCATACTTGCATAGATAAAAGCTACATATATATATATATACTTATATGTATGTATATATACGCCAATTAATTACAGATATATGACGCCAAAATATTCGTGGGTTGGGAGGGAAATAGAGGAACAGAATAGGAGAGGAAGCAAAAACAATAAGTTTTGGTTAGGGGATAATAAATGTGTTTGCTTGCCCACTGCAAGCGATTTTAACTTTGTTTGTGTTACTTGTGGGATTGCATGCAGAGTGCATTCACGGCAATGAGTTAAACTTCATCATCTCCAGGGCAATGTTCGGTGGATCCGCAGACCACCGGGTGCATCTCCGGGTCGTGGATAGAAGAATGGCTATTTAGGTGATGAAAAGTGAAAATGCAAGTCACTTTGCATGGATAAAGCGACTGCGGACAATCAGCCGCGCCGTGGCAGGGGTTTGCCTGGAAAGTAATCTATCTTTAGCAAAAGATATCAATGTCCGTAGGACTTAACGTAACGTGTGTGTGCTAGGCTATTAAGCTGTTGCCCTACATTTATTACTTGTATATGTGCAAGGGCGAGAGAAGCATCCTCTGGGACAGAGGCCGACGAGTACTGAAGATGTGCTATACCTCCTGTTTTCTAAATGGCCACGTTTCTGCTCCATATAGCATGACTGGCCGAATTGCTGCAGCATACACTCCACCCATCGCGACATCTGGCTGTCTGTGAAGGGTCGAGTCTATGCTGAGGCAGTTCGGCCAGTTCTGCTATACGGCGCATAAACTTGGCCGTTGAGAAAAAACAGGATAAATATAGACTGTCGGTGTTTGAACATCGCTGCCTACGCAGCATTGCACGAATCTGGTGGGACAGCCAGACGAACAATGCTGAGGTTAGGCGCAAAGTTTTAGGCAACCGCGATCGCTCACTGGAGTAAGTGATTGACCTCCATAGATTACGTTGATTGGGGCATGTGTTACACATGTCACCAGATAGGTGGCCACGGTGAGCGATGTTTACCGAGGCAGGTAGTGGGTGGAATAAAGCCAAGGGTAGTCAAACGAAGATCGAGCATGAGGATATAAAAACCCTAGCGAGGAATCTGGGTCATACAGGTCCCGTTAGGTTGCCTGGGGACCTCGGGATGATGGTAACCGATGGTTAGACACACTGAGTGATGTGGCTGGGTGTCGCAAACAGTGGCGTTCGTGCATCTTCTCAATTTCTCTGCATCAGTAGTCCATTGAACTCAATTTTCTCTTCGATTCTACTTCCACACTTCTTGTCTTCCTCCTATTCTTCACCCAAATGGGCAGCGAAAAGACAGCAACCAAAAGCGTCGCACGGAAACGCACGCCCAGTCGTTGTTTAAACTGAGGCTGTTTATGGATGAAACCAAGAAACTACCCCCTCCCCTCAAGTAAGATGCAATCGCTTAAAAGTATAAGCGCAAATTAAGCTGCTATACAATTGCTCGGCACAATCGCGTCCCATTTGGAATGTTCCTGATTGTTTTTGATGTGCACAGTAGTAGTGTGGTTCCAAGGGGAGATAGTATCTGAAACGTAACCAACTAAAAGAAAATGATAAAACGCCAAACATGCGAAATATCCAATCAAACAACAACAACAACAACAACATATAGATCAGATGACACGATTACGTACCGACCAATGGGTTCTTGTCCACGAAATCAAACACTTTCCTGGTTCCGATCACAAAACTAGTGACAATTTTCCCGGGCCGAATGCGTTTATGTGCATTGGTGATCACGCCAAGGGAGATCAAGTCCACCAGGCCATTGGAAAACATCTCTGTGTGGATGCCCAATTCACGATGATCGCTCAGTTGCTGATAGATACTTTGGGGGATTGAACCGAGTCCTGATAGGATTAAAGATAAGAATCAGATAGCATACTCACAACCTGTTGAAAGCGCGGAAAAAAAGACAGACACAAATTGGTGTAATGCAGATAGTCAAACTGATTTACATTCCCTTTTGACATCAAGCGCATTTGGGTAATAAAAGTGGTAAAAAGGATAGTTTGTCAAAAGCTATTCATTTGAATGTATTCATTCTGAAACCAAAGTCTCTGGATTCAAATGAAAGTAATGGTTGTGGAAATGCTTTAAAAATACTCTGAACAACATTATCTTAATTTTACCAGTATCAGTGCCCTCAGAGGATTCAAAATATTTAAAAAGAAACAACTTGGACCGAAATAAAATCCGCCACGAAGAAAAATATGATGCGTTTGAACATCACGAGTTAGTTTTAATTATGCTCGAGTTGTTTTAGTATGATAAAGAAAATTTATGATAATAAACAAAACACGTAACTGGGGGGAAAAGTTTAGCTTATTTACTAGGCAAGCCATGGTTCACAACTTTAAATTTTGTGAGCCCATGAACTAAAATATCAAGTTTAATCCTTTTATATTTTCCTTCACTCTATCGTGCTTCTTCAGCTTCTCACCCCCATCAATGGCCAACAAAATAGCTTGTGCTGAACTCACAAAGGTTCTTCAGTTTTACGGAGGGTGTAGGTAACATTGGGTTTGGTACTCAGTTTGAATAATCGGTGGAAAAAGCTTTATACTTTTGATTAATTACTAAAACTATTTGGTGGCATGAGCAAAGCAGTCTATTGGTGCAACGTTCTTTCTGTGAGCAGTGTTGAAGTTCATTTTCTGTATGCATAAAGAACTATTAGAAAACACAACATGGCTTGCTGTTGCCGAATTTTAAACAACAATAGTAACCTGACTGTTACTGCTTCATATGGAAGAAAGTTTGTATGGTCACTTTTAAAATGGTAAATTCAAATTAAGTCTATCTTTTGGACTAGATAGTTACTTCTTCACAGCTTCACATAATATTGACATTACCTTAAGTGTCTTGAGGAGCTGCAGCTGTGACTTTCTGCAGTGTTTTTTGTGTCAAAATACATTAGAATTGCTTAATTCAGTAAAATTTCATTTCAACAAAACAACGGGGCTCCATTTTGGTATTTATTTAAATTGTGTAGGCTTATATGCTTACACTGGTCGTCGGACAGAGAAAAATATACCGTTTCATATAATATGCACAGTAAATAACGTCACTAAAGTTTGATTGATGTACGAAAATTTTGACGTAATTCACTTGCGATCTTTTTGGTTGGAAGTCGGGTCAGGTAGGTTGTATGGAAATGTTTACAAATTTCAATACGAAAGAGTAGATGTCGGAAAGAAGAGCATGCGGACGGATGGAAACGACAAAATGACAGACCGGAATGAAGAGGGTCGTCTAGAATCATACTGGCAAAGTTAACACAAGAGTTGATGTGACCATCAGTTTCAGTTTCAGTTTCAGTTTGCAGTTTGCACAACCATTAACCATGCACCATCGTGCGCCTGTTTTGGTTGCTATCTTTCGGCTACCTATTTGGATAAACATTAAGAGAAAAACAGGAAAGGTTGAAAGTAGAATCGAAGAGAAGATTGAAAATTTCAGTGGATTAATAATACAGAGAAATTGAGAAGATGCACAAACGCCACTGTTTACGACACCCAGCCATTTCACTCAGAGTGTCTAACCATCGGGTACGACCATCCCGAGGTCCCCATTCATCAATGAGTTCCGTGGTTAATGAATCGATCGGGATTAATGGTGCGCGACTGATCATCAAACCACGACGGATGGTTTTGAAGTCTTGTTTTAAAAGGTCTGGCAACACTACAGAGGAACAATAGAAAAGAATGAGCAGAATGAATTGGTAACAAGAGGAGAGGACTTACTGTGTGGTTTGGAAGTGTCTTAGCGTGATTAACTGAAAAAAGGTGCTTCAGTTTTCCCACACATTTGTAAATGTTTGTGGAGCATCGAAGAATGCTGTCGATGGTGACACCCAGATACTTGATTGAAGCCACACTGGACATAGGTTCAAAGTCAAGGGCAGCAGATTCCGTTGGGAATGATAATCAGGAAAGACTAAAGATACACTCTACGCAGTTGAAAAACAAAAGTTCAGTCAGCTGGTTTTCCGTTAATGTACCGACTCTCGCTGAGGTGGAATACCCTTTCAGCGACTTCGGTGGAGAATACCGAAGTTGCTTTCAAATGGCGTTTGGATGAGCACCTTGAGGGTCTATGAAGGAAAGAACGCATGTGATCGGACCTTCGACCCAGTGGTGATGAGGCTTACATGGGTATCCTGCCCTCTGCCCTCAATACTGGAGATTCATTGACACAAAAGGTCCCAGGGATTTTTTACTACTCAATAACGTTTAATAAGCAGAAACTTAATAAGCAAGTCCGATTAACACAACCTCCTTAGTAGCAAATGTATGATTGAATCGTAATCTATAGATGTGCTTGATAACCTCATGCAGAACAAATTGGAGTAAAACGAGTATATATTTACAAGGATGATGTTTTTACTTACCAGCCTCAATCGTCGATCCATCTTCGACAAGATGCTCTGAGATTGTTTTCCCAACTCTTAGTTCTTCAAATGTAGGCTCATATTCTTCAGTTTCATGAAGTGGTTGGTTTCCGTATACTAGGTAGTCAAAGTGGCTTGAATGAATATTTGCATCTCCACCAGTGTCCGGTACATTTGGATTTACCTGACCTTAATGAGAATCAGTAGATCTAAACGAGATAAATACCAATTATCTTTTCAGAATTCTGGATCGCCGCTCTGGTTATGCCCACCGAAGAGCCGAGTGAGCAGTAACCGTGTTTGCCGGGCGGAGAAACACTTATGAGAGCCAAATCAAATGACACAACTTTCCTACGAAACAGCAATGGAATTTCACTCAAGAATACTGGATAAAAATCTGCCATGCCAGAATTAACAGCTTCTCGGCAATTGTCTCCTATAGAGTGACAGTTAATCACATTTGTTACCCTGATGATTTACCGACAAACAGACATCTTGGTGAGAAACGTTCGGAAGAACCAGCCTGGAAGAACGGATACGGACCAAATGTATTCAAATGATACAGTTGAATGTTGCTTAATTGACGATCGACCACATATTTATGGAGTTCTTCAAGTAAAATTGTTGGGGTGGCGGCAGTATCCTGTATAAATATTTTCGCCCCTAACCATAATCATTTATTCAACTTCGCTGTCTTACCATCCTTCAAACCCTCGAAAGCCTCCTCTGCCTTCGACCACTTAGGGATTGTCCCTGAAAGAGGACAAAATGGTTCTGATCGATGCTCCAGCTCAAGTTTATTGGGATCGCTCATATACACATTGCGCGAAAAAACTTTTGTTAGAGTCCCCGGTTTTAGACGAAAGGCACGAATCAATCGATTCATGTTTTGAGAGGGAAAAACGCAGAAAACGACGTGACCTTGA